CATTCCTAGATGGAATTGCCATTCCCAGATGGAATTGCCATTCTTGGATGGAACTGTCATTTTAGATGGAATTGCCATTCCTAGATGAAATCTCCATTCCTGGATGGAATTGCCGCTCCCAGATGGAATTGCTATTCCTGGATGGAATTGTCATTTTTAGATGGCATTGCCATTCCTGGATGGAATTTCCATTCTTGGATGGAATTGCCATTTTTAGATGGCATTGCCATTCCCAGATGGGATTGTCACTCCTGGATGGAATCACATCCCTGCCCCCCAGGGAACTCCTGGCTACCTGCTCAAGGTGAGAGGGACCAAAACGCCAACAATGAGGTGACAAGGACGGGAATTGGGGACAGGAACCGCCCCCAGGCCACCAGGGAGGGACACAGCTCATCCCACACACCCCTCGGAGCAAGGAGAGGAGCAGGGAGCCTCCTCCTGGCTCGGTTTTGGGTGGAATTTGGGAATTTGGGGATTTGGAGCTGCTGAAGAGCAGCCCCTGCTGAGCTCAGCTCAGCTCAGCTCAGCTCAGCTCAGCGTGGAGCGGCGAATCCAGGACTGAGGAGTGCCACCAGACAGGAGCAACCACTCCAACCCAGCGTGGGGCTAATGAAGGGCTTTTTGAAGAGCAAAATCAGCCCAAGGTACAAAAACAAACAGGGCTGAGCGTGGCAGAGTGAGCAGCAGCAGCAGCACACGAGGCCCTGCGAGTGACAGAGGTTAAAGGAAATTATTCTGGGCACCCAGAGGATCTCACAGGGATGCTGGAAGCATCTCCCACGGCTTCCCTGGAGATTTCTGTGCCTTTGCAGAGCCTCCAGGGAGATGCCAGCCGTGCCTGGGGTGGCAGCAAAATGTGGTTGTTTAAAAGGAAATGGGTTATGGAGCCTGTTTGATGATTTGGAAGGATTTATTGCATCTTTCAGCCTCAATCCCTGAGACAGCAGGGACTGCAAAGGGAAGGCAGGAGCTTCTGGCCTGATCCTAAAAGTCAGGAGACGGGTGGCCAGGCAAGAGATCATTAAATTCAGATGCTCAGAGGGGAAATTCTCCAGAGCTGTGAGGAAAGAATGGGCAAACAAACACGATTTTTGAGATTTGGGGGAGCAGAGGGGGAAGATCACACCTGGCACTGCCCAGGGATTTGGGGAAGTGTTTTAGCTCCACATTCCAGCTGGGTCTGGGTGGAAAATGAACCTCGGGATGGTCAATCCTTGCCCTGAGGGGCTGGGATGGTGTCACAGGTGGCAGCAGGAGTGCACTGAGACCTGCCCAGGGGTGCTGTGTGTGTGCCACCCACACCTGGCACAGCCCTCCCCACCTGTCTGAGGGGTGCCCTGGAGGGCTGGCACAGCTCCCACACAGCGAGGAGGTGACAAAGCTTGGACTCCGGTGACAGAACCAGCGAACACCGAGAGCAGCTCGGCAAACGGGAGCCGAGGGAGCTCCATCCTGCCCGGCCCCGTGCAGGGCAGCTCCGGTTACCGGGAGCTCCGGGACGCCTCGGCGGAGCCGCTGCGGCTCCCCCGGCTCGTTCCCACATGCTCCGGGGCTGAATCACAGCGATTCGTCGTGGCGAGCGTCGCCTCGGTACCTGCTGCACGCTGAACACCTCCTCTCCCTCCTCTCCCTCCCTCCTCTTCCTCCCCTGCCCGGGTGATGGCGAGTGGGTGCTGCACCCACGCAGGGGAAGGCAGGAGGAAGGGAAAGGGTTAAAAGCCGGGTGACAGCGACAAGGGACAGCATGGAGGGGCTCCGGGAGGGGCTCGGAGCTGTGGCACAGCCTGGGGGAGCACGGGATGCTCGGGGATCCCCAAAAAAAACCACCAGGAGAGCCAGTGCCGCCCCAAAACTCCCTTTTCCACGGGAACCCCCCCCCCCTCCAGTGCTGAGTGAGAGGCCAGGAGACCCCCAGAGCCCCCCAAAGCCACCCGGAGACCCCCAGAGCCCCCCAAAGCCACCCAGAGCCCCCCAAAGCCACCCAGAGCCCCCCAGAGCTGGCCCAGCTCGCCCCCATCCCACGGGACCCTCGCCCTGCTCCAGGAGCCGAGTTTGGGTCCCCTCTGCTGCTCTCACATCCCAAAGCTTCCTGAGCCCTTCTCCAAGCGGACAAGGAGTGAAAATCTGGGAAAAGCCTCCTGTGACCCCAAATTTGCAGTTTTAGTCACCTCAACTGCTGCCGGGATGGAGCTGGAGGCAGCGTGGGATGGGCAGGGACGGTGCCCAAGGTGTCGGTGCCTCCCACGGGTGCATCCCGAGCTCTTCTCCAAGCGGACAAGGAATAAAAGCCCGGGAAAAGCCTCCTGTGACCTCAAATCTGACCCCAAATTTGCAATTTTAGTCACCTCCAGGAGGAGGGAGGCAGCACAGGGGTGGGCAGGGAAGGTGCCCAAGCTGCTCCTGTATCCCATGGGCGCTTCCCGAGCCTTTTCCAAGCGGACAAGGAACAAAAACCTGGGAAAAGCCTCCTGTGACCTCAAATCTGACCCCAAATTTGCAATTTTAGTCACCTCCAGTGATCCTGGGATGGAGCTGGAGGCAGCGTGGGATGGGCAGGGAAGGTGCCCAAGCTGCTCCTGCCTTCCACGGGCACTTCCCGAGCTCTTCTCCGACTCCACAAGGGACAAAAACCTGGGGAAAAGCCTCCTGTGACCCCAAATCTGACCCCAAATTTGCAGTTTTAGTCACCTCCAGGGCTCCCGGGACGGAGCTGGAGGCAGCACAGGGATGGGCAGGGACGGTGCCCAAGCTGTCGGTGCCTCCCACGGGTGCATCCCGAGCTCTTCTCCGACTCAACAAGGAGCAAAAACCTGGGAAAAGCCTCCTGTGACCTCAAATCTGCCCCCAAATTTGCAACTTGCACGTCCGGGAGGAGGGAGGCAGCGCGGGGAGGGGCAGGGACCGTGCCCAAGCTGTCGGTGCCTCCCACGGGCGCTTCCCACGGGGATTGTGACTAACGGAGCCATCCCTGGCACAGCTCCGCTGCAGGAGCCTCGGAGCAGCTCCTCCGGAGGGCTTGGAGCTTGTGGGAAAGGGATTTGTAGGGAGTTTTTAGGTTCAGTAGGATGAAAGTTTTTAAAACGCCACGGCCGGGTCAGGAAAGGGTTTTGCGCCACAGGTGGCGAGCTGGGGAGGGAACGGTGCCACAAAGGGTTAATTCTCCTCGGGAATGGAGCTGGGGGTGTTTGGGCAGAGCCCTGAGATCCTCCAGGGCTGGAAATGGCAGAGCTCGGGGGTTGAATTGATGGGTGAGACACGGTTGGGTGAGGGGGGATAAAGGAGTTGCCAGGGAGATGCCAGGGGACAGCCAGGAGTGGGCAGCGACCTTTGGGGACTGGCACAGAGCGGGGCCCGCCCCAAACGGGGCCAGTGCCAGGAGAGGCTGTGGGGCCGGCAGGGACAAGGGACAGGGACGGGCTGGGACACACAGGTGAGCATAGGTGTCACCTCAGAACGGGTGACATCCCAGGGAGGGTGACATCCTAACATGGTGACATCTCAGTGAGAGTGACAGCTCAGCACAGGTGACACCCTAGAACAGGTGACACTACAATGAGAGTGACACCCTAGCAAGGGTGACAACCTAACATGGGTGACATCCCAGTGAGAGTGACATCTCATCATAGGTGACATCCCAGCACATGTGACACTGTAGCAAGGGTGACATCCTAACATGGGTGATGTCCTAACATGGGTGACATCCCAGTGAGAGTGACGTCCTAACATGGGTGACATTCCAATGAGAGTGACACCCCAGGACAGGTGTCACCCCAGTGAGAGTGACATCCTAGCAAGGGTGACATCCTAACACAGGTGACATTCCAGCACAGGTGTCACCCCAGCATAGGTGACAACCCAGTGAGAGTGACACCCTAACATGGGTGACATCCCAGTGAGAGCGACACCCCAGCACAGGTGACATTCTACCAAGGGTGGTATCCTAACCTGGGTGACATCCCAGCACAGGTGACACCTCAGCACAGATGTCACCCCAGTGAGAGTGACATCCTACCAAGGGTGACATCCTAACACAGGTGACATTCCAGCACAGCTGACTCCTCACTAAGAGCAACACCCCACCACGAGTGGCACCCTTGCACAGGTGACACCCCAGCACAGGTGACAGCCCTCATCTCTGCTGAGCAGAGCATCTCTGCTCCGGCCCCTCTCCCTGCCAAGGGGCCGTGCCCCATCCACGCAGCCGGGTGACAGTGACAGTGACAGGGCCCATCGCGGGGACACCGCCAGCCGAGAGCGGACCCTGCGGTGGGACCGGTCCCGTTTCTGTGGCGGGGATCCGGTCTGGGGACGACACTTTGAGGCATCGGGGGTGGGATGGGGGCCACAGGGACCGAGGGGATCACGGGGACCGAGGGGATGGAGAGGATGACGGGGACCGAGGGGATGGAGAGGACCGAGGGGACCACGGGAACTGAGGGGATCACGGGGACCGAGGGGACTGAGGGGATGGAGAGGACCGAAAGGATCACGGGCCCCGAGGGGATGGAGGGGACCTCGGGGATCACGGAGATCAGGGGGACTGAGGGGACCTCGGGGATCACTGGGCACCGAGGGGATGGAGAGGACCACGGGGATCACGGGCACCGAGGGAATCACGGGCACCCAGGGAATCACAGGGATCACGGGCACTGAGGGGATCGCGGGCACCGAGGGGATCACGGGCCCTGAGGGCAGCCCCGTTCCCGCCGTCCCCCCCCGCCGCCGCCGCCGCCGCCGCCGCCGCCGCCCCGCGCGCACCTGCCTCCCGCGGGGAGCCGCGCATGCGGCGCGCACCACCGCGCCCCAGCCCGCGGGGGGGGCCGGCGGCCGGAGCGGGCGTGTTTACACGGGGGCCGAGGGGGGCGGCATCGGCGCGGCCCCCCCCGCTCCCCCCCCCACACCCCGGCACGAATGGTCTCTTCCTCGCGCTCTATTTAATCGCCGCCGCTGCCGCACCGCCGGCTCCAGAGCTGAGGGAGCAGCGGAGAGAGCAGCGCCCGCCGCCCGCGCTGCGGCTCGGTCGCGCCGGCCCCGCGGGCTCCCGCCGCCGCCAGCATGCAGCCCCCCACCCTCGGCATCCTCCTGCTCATCGCCTGCTTCGGCAGCGCCCGGGGAAACCTCTCCCGCGACGGTGAGTGGCGGCACCGCGAGCGGGCGAAGCTCCCGCCTCATCCCCGCCGCTTATGGCGGGGGATGCGGGGAAGCGAGCGACAGGTGCGGGGAGCGGCGGCGGCGGCGCCGTTATGTGGGTCAGGCAGGTACCGCCCGCCCCGCCCCGCCCGGCCCTCGGGGCCCGCCCCGCCGCCGCCTGCGGGTGCGGCTCCCCGGGCGGCCGGCGGGGCTCAAGGTCACGGCGGCGCCGGTGCCGCCCGTCGTGTCCCCCCACGGCCGCGGCGGAAGGTTCCAGACAGGCCCCGGCGGGCGGCGGCGGCGGCGCTCGGCCCCTCCCGGCGCTGCCCGCGGAGAGGGCGGGGGGGGGGGGGGCGGATGGAGAATCCCCGGTGCGGCGGAGCCGCCCCGCCGTGAGGGTGCCGGGGCTCGGCGGTGACACACGGAGGGGCGGATGGAGCTCCCGGGGGAGCCCGGTGACATCCGCGCCGCGGCTGGGGCGGCTCCCCGGTGCCTCCGGTGGGAGCCGCCTCCCCGGGATGGGCGGCGGTCCCCGTCCCGCCGGGATGAGCGGGGCTCGCCGCACGAAGAGGGGTTCGCCGGCGGCGACAGTCGCGACAGGCACGGAGCGGGTGTGATTTGTGTCGAGGCTCGCCGCTGGCAGCGCCGCGTCCGCCGCCGCTGCGGGTCCCTGCGGGGCGGCCCCGGTGCCTCGGACCCGCCATCCCTGTCTGGCTGCTGGCGGCTCCGTTTGCCGTGTCGGGAGTCGCCTGTCGTGACAGGAGCGATGCTGCTGCGTGTGTTTGGGTGGGGAGGTGCAGCCGCCGGCCGGGGGCTGGGCTGGACCCGCCGTGTTGTGCTCTGGGGATGCTGGGGCTGGGTTCGGTCCCCATCCACATCCCTGCGCTCCATCAGGAGCTGCACCGAGCGTCCCGAGGGCTGTGCGGGTGGGAGGTGACACGGTGGGGACAAGGGCTGAGCCCGCAGCCCCCGCGGCTCCCCCGCACCCATCGCTGTTGCTGTCACAGCCTCTGGGGGCTGGTGGCTGCGTTCCCATCCACGAATCCCGGGATTTGTTCTGGTTTTGGCCACGGTCCTCCCACGGGCACCCGAAAGAGTCACTTGGGTGTGGGTGATGCTCAGCCCCGGGGTGTGGGGACATCCTGACAGCCCCAGTGTGGGGATGCTCAGCCCGTGGGGCTGGGGATGGCCGAGCATGCCTGGAAGGGAGGTGGCCGTGATCCAGAGCTGTCCTGGGACAGGACACAGCCCGGATGGTGACACTGCAAGATTTCCTCCTGGGCTGGCCTCTGCTGTGGCCCAGCCCTGGCCACCAGAGCCGGGGTCCAGCAGAGCTGGACAAACACACCCCAAAAATAAAATCCTTGAGGAGATGGGAGATGCTTGGAAAGAAGCTGTTGTGTTTTCATGGTTGGTGCCTCATCCTGAGCCATCCCAGCGTGACATCCCCTGCCTGGCACCTGTCCTGGGGAGGGATGGAGCCTCCTCCTTGGAGAACATTCCTCCAGCGCTGTGGATGGCTCTGCTACAAGCATGGCAGGGTGTGGAGGAACCCCTGGAAGCCACCCAGGCCCTGCTCCAGCACAAGAGGGCCCTGTCTGAGCTCTTGGCTGCCGTTTGTGCTGCTGTCGGCACATTCGGGTGTGTTTGGGCTGCTGCGTGGTTGTCCTTGTGTGTGAGGATCATTCTCTGCAGGGTTATTCCACTCGGGAGTTGTGTAACCCTTTTGTTTGGACAATGCCCTGGGAGGCCAAAACCAGTTGACTTTGGGGTTGTTTTTTTTCCCCTGAGGCACTGGAGGACATGAGGAGGTTTGCAGAGAGGCAGGTTCAGGGCTCTGTCCCTGTCCTGCGAGTTTTGTCTCTCTGGAACTCTCAGCTTGGACAGACCACCCAGAAAACCTCCCTCTATGCTGGGGAGATGCTCTGCAACCTCCCAGCCCATGTGAGATGGGATCCCACAGGGTTTTTGTCACCTTCAGCTTCCAAGCAGGTGACACCTGCAGGTCCAAACCCTTTTTTTGGACAACACTCTGGGAGGCCACCCTGGGGTCAAACCCAGGTGATTTTGGGGCTGATTTTTCCCTGAGCACTGGAGGACATGGGGAGGTTTGCAGAGAGGCAGGTTCAGGGCTCTGTGTCTATCCTGCAAGTTTTGTCTCTCTGGAGCTCTCAGCTTGTCCAGGCCACCCAGAAAACCTCTCTCTATCCTGGGGAGATGCCCTGCAGCCTCCCCAGCCTGTGTGGGGTGAGGTCCCACGGGGTTTTTACCACCCGCAGCCTTTGAACAGGTGACATCTGTAGGTCCAAACCCTTTTGTTTGGACAGTGCCCTGGGAGGTCACCACGGGGCCAAAACCAGATGATTTTGGGGCTGGTTTTTCCCTGAGCACTGGAGGACATGGGGAGGTTTGCAGAGAGGCAGGTTCAGGGCTCTGTCCCTGTCCTGCAGCGTGGTTTTGTCTCTCTGGAGCTCTCAGCTTGGACAGGCCACCCAGAAAACCTCTCTCTATCCTGGGGAGATGCCCTGCAGCCTCCCAGCCTGTGTGGGATCAGGTCCCATGGGGTTTTTGTCACCTCCAGCTTCCAAGCAGGTGACACCTGCAGGTCCAAACCCTTTTTTTGGACAACACTCTGGGAGGCCACCCTGGGGCCAAACCCAGTTGATCTGGGGCTGATTTTTCCCTGAGGTACTTTAGGACATGGGGAGGTTTGCAGAGAGGCAGGTTCAGGGCTCTGTGTCTATCCTGCAAGTTTTGTCTCTCTGGAGCTCTCAGCTTGTCCAGGCCACCCAGAAAACCTCTCTCTATCCTGGGGAGATGCCCTGCAGCCTCCCCAGCCTGTGTGGGGTGAGGTCCCACGGGGTTTTTACCACCCGCAGCCTTTGAACAGGTGACATCTGCAGGTCCAAACCCTTTTGTTTGGACAGTGCCCTGGGAGGTCACCATGGGGCCAAAATCAGATGATTTTGGGGCTGGTTTTTCCCTGAGCACTGGAGGACATGGGGAGGTTTGCAGAGAGGCAGGTTCAGGGCTCTGTCCCTGTCCTGCAGCGTGGTTTTGTCTCTCTGGAGCTGCTGGAGCTCTCAGCTTGAACAGACAGCCCAGAAAACCTCCCTCTATCCTGGGGAGACGCCCTACAACCTCCCAGCCTGTGTGGGATCGGGTCCCACAGGGTTTTTACCACCCCCAGCCTTTGAACAGGTGACATCTGCAGGTCCTGCTGGAATGTGGGAGAGCCCAGCGCTGTCTGGAGCAGCAGAATTCTTTCCTTGCTGCTTTCCAGGGTGCTTTTCCCCAAGGAACGTATGGATTGCCCCGTTCCCAGTGCCATTAGGGTTCTGCCATATGCTCCCAGTGCCTGTGCCAGCAGCAGCCCTTGGCTCCAGAGCTGAGGAAGCACTGACAGCCCTGGAGAGGCACGAAAGGAAGGGAGGGCGACCTCTCTGCATCGCTCACTACCTGCTTGGCCTGATTTTGGATGACTCGGATCAGCTGCCTGGGGGAAAAGGAGCTGTTCCAGGGCTGGGATCAGTGCTGAGCCCCAGGGGAGGGAGCAGAGCATCCCTGTGCAGGCTGGAGAGCACGGAATCCACCACTCAGCTGTCTGGCACAGCGCGTTAGGCTCAACAGGCAAGGCTGGATTTTAGGACAAAGCCTGGGATCAGGCTCTGTGGAGGTGCCCAGACGGTGAGGGATGTGCTGGCACCGCTGCCAGGACAGGAATTCTGCCTCTGGCCTGCCAATGCTGTAGGATTTGGCGTGGCCAAACCTCTGCTTGTGCTGTTTGCTGCCAGGAGAGATCCCAAAGGAATGGGGCGATGCTGCTGGAACCCGAGCTGAGCATCCCGAGGTCCCACCCTCCTCTGGAGGGAAAAACGCCCCGTTTGCCCAGGATTCCCTGCCTGGGAGGTCTCCTGCCTGCAGAATTCTGCCTCTTCCCCCTGTGCCTGACGTTCTCACCTCTCCAGGGGTGTTGGAAGCGCCGGAGGAACCGGAGGCGGCGGCATCTGGGGAGTGTCCCCGGCGCTGGCACGGCGGCCGCGCAGGCAGATGGAGGGAGCTGCAGCAGAGCTGCTCCTGTTTGTTTTGCCTGCTTCCTAACCTCGTTCTGTGCCAATCCAGGGTGTCTCGTGCCTGCAGGAGAGGAGTGGGGCAGGGTCTGGATTTGTGTGTCCGAGGTGGTTTTGGTGGCGGTGCCAGCTGGGAGCTTGGTGGGCTCTGCCTGTTCTGCTGTGCCAGCGGCTGGCCTGGCACCCCCTGCCCAGCCTGGTCCCCACCTGAGCTGCTTTTCCAGCCTTGGTTGTGCACAGATTGAGTGGAGTCCTCGTTGCTCTGGCTCTTCAGTGGGCCCTGGAAGGTGCTGCCAGCTCTGTGACACCCCCACAGTCAGATGGATCTGTTCCTCCTCCTCCTCCTCTCAGTTACTGGGTCAGCTCAGCTTGAACCATCTGGTCCAGTTCTGGCCCCTCTGCTCTTGGCCGGGCACCATCAGCCGAGACCAGCAGAGCCTTCATCGGGTGGTGATGGAGGAAGGGGTGGCAGCGACCTCTGTGTGCTGCCCCAGCTCCTCCACCCACCCGTGAGAGGCTGAGATTCTCCATCCTCCTCCCAGAGAGCTCCTCTTCCTCCCGGTGCTATCCCGGGGGGAGGAGGATGAGGAGCAGAGGCAGGAACTTTAATTTGGGCAGCACCGAGGCAGACAACCCAAAGGCAGCCCGAGGGAGGCGGGGAAGGCGAGGCTGAGAGCGGGGATGTGTGGAACCATTCCGGGGATGCGGCCGAGGGCGCAGGGACCGCGGGCAGTGCTGGATGCTGCGGCTCCCCGGTGTCCGGTGGGTGACAGGGATGGCAGGAGCAGCATTTCCATGAGTTTGGCTGGGAAATTGTTGCGTTGTGATCTCATGGTTTAGCTCAGAACCTCGGGTCCCTCCCCTGATAATTCCCTGCCAGGTTTATCTATCATTTCTGCTTTCCCCTCCCAGCGCTGTCTGTCACTCCTGG